GAATAAAATTAATTTGAAATTAATAAATTTTGAAAATTAAATCTTTAAAATTAATAATTACTTTAATCAATGAAGGTAAAAATAATTTTGATCAATTTTAAAAATAAAATAAAATAATTAAAATAAAAATAATTTATAATTAATAAAATAAATTTATTTATATTTATTAATTAATCAGTTGAATCGATTAATTTAGTCTGTCCAACTGATTGAACCTTTCCAATGACCGAAACGGCCTGCTTATAGGATTGGGTTTTTTTTTTTTTTTTGGTAAAAGGAAGATAATATAACAAGAAAACAAAAGAGTTACAGCCTATACGATCAGCCATACACAACAAGTCCACATCTGGTGGACAATTAACCAAAATGTGAAAACCATGAAGGGCCATAACTCCTTTTTTAGCAACGGCATCAGTAGCTATGTTGCTTTCCCTCGTCACATGTTTGAGTTGAACTTGGGGAATGTTGCGCAACAGGTCCCTGTAATCCATTAACAACGTGCTGTGAGGATGAAAGGGGATTATGTTCTTTAGAGAAAAGAGCATAAGCAACTTGACAGTCAGTCTCCAAGATAACATTCTGCAGTTGAAGGTTTTTAGCAATAAATAGTCCATCCCTAATAGCCCAAAGTTCAGCAACCAAAGCAGTAGTGTAACCAATATTTCTCAAAAAACCGACAACCCACAGACCCCTAGAATCTCTTAGAATTCCCCCATAGCCAGCATAACCTAGATTCCCGAGTGTAGAGCCATCAATAGTAATTTTATACCTGAGGGGGGTGGTGGTTCCCAGGAGATGAGCCTAAGGTAGTGTTTATGTGCAGCACTAGAAATAGGAGCAAATGCCTAATATTTAGTGGCCCTTTCAATAATTAAGTCATGAGTCCTCTGAATGGCCACAGTTTGATGACAGTACAAAGGTTCCTTTGATTCCAGAGAACCCAAACAGCAAAAGCCAAAAATAACAGCCCAAGGAATGTTGAAAAAAGGGCTAAGAGAGTTGTTGTGAGTATGTTCAAACAGCCAATGCCTAAAGTTCATAGCATTATGGCTGTTAGCAAAAGCAGGAGATAATTTGTTGAAGACAACAACAGCATGAGGACAATCTCTAAAAACGTGATCAATAGACTCAGTTTGTCTCCTATATATCATGCAAGTCAGATTATCGATAATGCTAAGATGATGGAGATACTCCAGAGTTTTGATTTTACCATGAGCAAGCAACCACAAGAGCATTTGTATTTTTGGGAGGGTTGGGGATTTCCAAATCCACTTCCAATTGTCATTCCCTTGACAATCCTTAATAGTAAGGATTTTGTGGGCCGAAGAGGAAGAGAAGATACCATTGGATTCTTCCTTATAAGATTGGGTTATTACAACACTGTAACCCAGTGTCTAAAATAAAACCTGGAAAAAAATATATATATATATATACCGCAAGAAGCAGCAAGAGGCGGATACTTTGAAATGCTTTAAAAACCAAAGGCTATAAAATATGGATACTTTCAGATGTCTTCTAGCTTGTCAGGATCTTTCCAATTAACTTCTTCAATCAAGTACGATTTTCGATTTTCCATTATTCATCATGCACAGAATTATCGATGTTGTATCTGATTCTGGATTTCTCGTTGATAGAAGTACTTTTTCATTATTATTTTTTTTTGTGGGGATTTATATCCGTTAATAAAGATTTCTTTTTTAGTCAAATGAAATAGATTTTATCAGTCTTTTGTAATTACAATCATGTAGTTAAACCTTGCTTCAGTTGGTGTGATTCTGATATTTTCACTTAATTCTTTCTCGGTTGCCAAACGAAAAATTACAAAATTAGTGCCAGTATTGGTTTGGTTTTGGTTCCTTGACGCTAAATAGCATTGAGTGTAGAGGTGGTACTTAGAAATGTAGAGGTGGTACTTAGAAATGTCGAGGTTCCATGTTGGAGGAAAGGTGGTAGACAAGGTTGATTTGCTGAGGAAGAAACACTGGGCTTGGTGACTGGATGTGTGGCCTTTTGTGATTCTCTATGTATTGTGGTTAACTATTGTGGTTCCTAGCGTAGACTTTGGAGATGCTGCCATTGTCCTTGGCGGCCTTGTAGCACTCAACATATTAGTCTGGCTCTTTACTGCTTGGTCTGTAGATTTTAAATCCTTTGTTCACTACAGTAAGGTATGAAGATTGTTCACACATGGTCACGTGGATGTTTTGTGCTTAATTGTGGAAGATTGAATCTGGGAAAGCAATATTATTTTACAGCTGTAATGCTTTTTTTTTCTTTTTAAATTTTTTTCAACTTTTTTTATTTTATTTTCAGGTTAATGATATTTACCTTGCTGATGCTTGTAAAATAATCCCATCAAAATTTTCTGGGTCTAAAGAGGTTGTGCCTCTTCATTTTCGTAAACAGGTAAGTCTTTTTGTATCATTTTTAAGTCATGTTCATTTTTGCTGATAAAGTATCACAAGCAGTATGGTGCACAGATTTTAACTAATGCGGTAATGTTACCTCTTCCATTATCTACTGTGATTTTGAATTATATTTATTTAAAGGTCTTATTTCCACAAATTGATGCATTATTTGACTGCTCTCCATATAGAAAGATAACTAAGGTATGGACGAGATGCATTTTTCAGTCATGCCATAAAATGTAAAATGCTAGTTAGAATTTCCTCTGAATACTAACCTGCATTGAGATGAGGAAAATAGGTTGTAGAAGCATCATAAAATGGATATTTAGGGTATACGTTTCTCCTTTCAATATCCTACACACTGTCTTTGCCATTTCCTTTCATTCTAATACTTCTCTTGCACAGACATCAAATTCTTCATCTTCAACAAACGTGGAGGAGATCTACTTTGATTTCAGGAAGCAGCGTTTCACCTATTCCAAGGAGAAGGACACATTTTTCAAGCTTCCTTATCCTACCAAGGAAACATTTGGCTACTATTTAAAAAGTACTAGCCATGGCTTTAAAGCTAAAGTTCTCTCTACCTCTGAAAAATGCGGATGCAATGTGTGAGTTAAAATTATGAAGAATTTCTCCACTTATGATAATTTGGATTGCTTCAGTATACTTTATGAGTTTTGATACTTATCATGTTGCTATTTTCCTGAATTCCTGTACCTGGTGCCTCCTATGTTGGGTTCTGGAATTCAGATCCTAAGTTAAGTTGAATGTGACTGCTAAAAGGGAAAAATGAAGATGATAATAGCTTCATTAAAAGGAAAACAAATAATAATTCATAAGAGTGCTCTGCTACTCTCATAGGTGTAGTTATATGGACCTTAACCATTTTGTTATGGTTTTGTTGTCAAGTGTCTGCTTTTTAATATTGAATGCTTTTTGATCATACAGATTTCAATATCCATAACCTACTTTCCAGAAATTAATGAAGGAGCATTGCATGGAGCCTTTTTTTGTGTTTCAGGTTTTCTCCTCATGGTTTGTTTAAATGTCTCTCTGATAAGTTTTTATTTGAAAGTTTTATCTTTAACATGTTTTTTTGCCCATGCTTAGGTATTTTATGTGGGCCCTTGGTGTTTGGATGAATACTGGTACTACAGTTTGTTCACCCTATTCATGTTGTTTATGTTTGAATCGACAATGGCAAAAAGTCGGTTAAAGACTCTAAGTGAGCTTAGACGTGTTAGAGTGGATAATCAGACCTTAATGGTGCCCTTTTTCTTATCTTCTTTGGTAGTCACACACACACACACACACACACACACACACATATAAATGTATTATTTGATTTGTTTGTCTTTTTTGTTCTGTTCAATTATGGGCTATATAATAGGGATTTGATACTTTTCTTTCCTAAGTCTTTCCTTGCCCATCACAAGGTTTGAATGTGAGGCCTCTTTATGGGACTCTCAAATCATTTTTATAAGCCATAAAGGACATGCTTTGTTTGCTTCGGCAGAAGCCTATGTGTTAAGGTCACTTAAATTACCTCACTTCCACTAGTTACGTAAGGACTATAATTTTCTCCTTCAGGTTTCTATAACTGGAAAGGGAATTGAGAAGAAGTTATCGGCTAAGCATGATAAAAATCATATTTTGTTTGGTGGAACCAAAATACTGCAACACACTGCAGATAAGGTATGCCATGGGAACTGGCAAGAAATATTGTCTATGTGATATATTTTCACTTTCATTGTTAATTCATATTTCTATTTTTGTTGATCTCAGAGCTTTCCTCTAAAAACTCCTGATGGTGGCTGCTTGGCCATTGTTCTACGTACAGGGTTTGAAACAAGTCAAGGAAAGCTTATGAGGACAATTTTGTTTTCTACATAGAGGGTAATTGATAGTTTAGTGATATTTTTCCCAGAAATTGCTGTTTGTCAATTTCTAGGCTATTTGATTTTCTTGAATAACTTTATTTTTTACATGTTGTAGGTTACTGCTAATAGAAGGGAAAGTGGTTTGTTCATTTTATTTCTAGTTATATTTGCCATAATTGCTGCTGGTTACGTACTAAAAAAGGTATGGTAATTCCTCTTTCTTTGATTTGTTAAAGAATGTTTGAATATCATTTTACAAGCAATATGATGATTGGAGCACTTTTCTATATAGGGACTAGAGGATCCCACAAGGAGCAGATATAAGCTTTTCCTAAGTTGTTCACTCATCATTACTTCTGTGATTCCCCCAAAGCTACCAATGGAATTATCAATAGCTGTTAATACATCTTTGATTGCATTGGCACGACGTGGAGTATTTGTACAGAACCCTTTCGAATCCCATTTGCTGGAAAGGTTGGTCAGCCTAATCTTTTTAGGGCTCGGCTGCTATAGGAATTTTAGTTTTGTTTCTCAAAAAGTATAGTTGCTAGATTTATCACCCATGATTTAGAACTTAGCATGCTCATTTTTATACTTACCTTCCTTTTTCACTTCTTTTTGATCAACAAAACAATATAAGAAATATAGTAAAAAAGAGTATAAGAAATACTCCCAAAGCAAACCTTCTTCTTTTACTTTTGCTTTTTCATTCTGATAGTGCATTAAGTAAGATACTTTTATGCTGGATTCTCTTTATGTCATCTTATGTTTGATTGTTTGTTGTTTTTATTAACAGGTTGATATATGTTGTTTTGATAAAACTGGGACACTGACATCAAATGACATGGTATGCCCCTATTCATAGATATGTGCTCACTAATTTGTTGACATGGTAGCTTTACATTATGGTACTAGTGGTGTGTTTACTGGCTTTGATTGTCATCTGCAATTGAGCATTCATCTGTTTAATGTTCCTCTCTGCAGTAGATAGATAACAAAGTGATGCTTCCCTTTATGTCTATCATGCATATATTTTGCAGTCGTTGATTGAAAATTTTGTATATCTATCCTATTTTGTTTGCAAGTTGGCGATCCTTTTGAGAAAGCTGCACTAAAAGGAATTGACTGGAGTTATAAATCTGATGAGAAGGCAGTTCCGAAAAAGTAAGCTGCAATTTTTTTAGAGCAATTTAGTTTACTCTATTCATTTTATACTACAACCTACTCTCTGGCATTTTTAAGTACGTTCTTGATTCTTATATTAAGTATTGGTAGCCATTGTTTTTCTAACTGAAAAAAAAAAAAAAAAAAGAAGAAGAAGAAAGGAAGAAGAAAAGCTTCAATTAAAGCTGGCGAGAATGGAAAATTTGAATTTTTTAAGTAAAAGATTTTGCAATTTATAACAATTTTATTGTTTGCTATTTCCTCATTGACATGTCTATTGTTTGAAATTTGAAGTAAGCCATATGCAGCTATGGCAATATGAATGGGTATTGTTGAATTCTTTGAAGTCCAGCATTCTGGATAGTGTAGAAATTTCAAGTTACTAGAGATGTATGGTGCTGTGTTCTCATTTCAATAGAGATTTAACGGATGTTGATGCATTTGATGGTGAAAAAGAAGTTGGTTGACCCTATGATATGTTATAGACAATCATTGTATTTTACTGGTTACATGTTATTGAGCAAATTTAAAGCTAACATTCCTTGTATGTTTGGAGGAGTCTCTTTAGTGCAGCTATAGGGTTGGCTAATGATCCTGCATTTTTTCTGGAGGTGTTCACAAAAGTAAAAAAATGGAAAGCAAGCATAGTGGTGACAATAATTGTGATCACAGTTAAGTTAATGTTAGATCCATATGTAAAAGTGGTGAAACTACATAAAATAATAAAGGCCAAGAGCAATTTCTCCTTATATGTTAAACAATTCTGGATACAATTTTGGTATTGTGTGCATACTTGTGTACACACATTTTTAATATGATTACACATCATAAATGCATGTGCATACCATATTATCATTCCAGTGCTATTGTTTTCTTTTCACTGTTCTTTTTAAAGGTTCTAAGAGTTCTCAAGTCCTTTCCCTTTGTAATGGGTGGTTATATGTGGTCATTTTTAATTACTTATTAATTGCAGGGGAGGTGGCAATGCTGTACAGATAGTTCAGAGGCACCATTTTGCATCCCACTTAAAAAGAATGGCAGTTGTGGTTCGTATCCAGGAGGAATTTTTTGCATTTGTAAAAGTTGGTCTTCTGTTTATTTATTTCAATAATTTTTTGTAGTTTTAATGTAGACATAGGGTGGTATTGATTTTTCATTGAACCATGGAAAAAGGTCTTTGCTTAACAAGCTAAATAATGGATGCCCAGATTTTTTATAAAAAAATTATACAAAAGAAGCTAGAGCATTCTTTGGTTTGGATATTATAAACCAAAATAATAATAATAATAGTAAGTGCTTTCCTTGGATGGTGGAATGAGTTTTCACCAAAGGTATATACAAAAGCTTACTTACCTTTCTCCTCTCTCTCTCTCTCTCTCTCTCTCTCTCTCTCT